TTCTCCCTATCCTTTTCCTGGGTGTCCTTTTTTAAAATAAACCTTTTATTTTAGAATAGTTTTAGATTTACAGAGAAGTTGCAAAGATAATAAAGAATTTCCATACATCCCACATTTATTTCCCCTATTTTTAACCTATTACCATGGTACATTTTTCATACCTAACGAAGCAATACTGATACATTATTAACTAAATGGCATTCTTTATTTGGATTTCATTAGCTTTTCCCTAGTGTCCTTTTTCCTTTCCTGGATTCTTTTTTTTTTTTTTTTTTTTTTTTTCTCCTTTAAGTTTGTTTGTTGTTTGTTTTTAGTAATCTCTACACCTAACTTGGAGCTGGAACTCAACCCAGAGATCAAGAGTTCCATGTTCTTCTGACTGAGCCAGCCAGGCACCCCTCCTTTCCTGGATTCTATCATTTGGTCCCTTTCATGTCTCCTTAGCTTCCTCTGACTATGACAGTTTCTCAGATTTTCCTGGTTTGTTTTTTTGTTTTGTTTTGTTTTATAACCTTGACATTTTTAAGGAGTACTGGTGAGGTATACAGTAGAATCTCTCTCGAGTTCAGTTGAAGTTTTGATCACAGGGTATATGGGTTTGGGGACAGGTGAAGTGCCATTCTCACAACATATCAAAGACACATAATACCAACTTGATTTATCACTGTTTCCTGTGACAACTGAAACAAAGTACCACACATTCATTGGCTTAAAACAACAGAAAATTATTCTATCACAGTTTTGGAAGCCTGAATTCTGAGATCAAAGTGTCAACAAGACTGTCCTCTCTCTGGATGCTCTGGATGCTCCATTCCTTGTGTCTTCTAGCTTCTGGCAGCTGCCCAGCACTCCTGGGCATTCTTTGGCTTGAGACTGCACTACTCAGATCTCCGCCTCCTTCTTCATATCACCTTCCTTATGTTTCTTCTGTGTCTGTTACAAGGCCATTTGTCTTTGAATATAATGTCCACCTGAAGAATCCAGGACAATCTCCTCATCTCAAGATCTTTAACTTAAATATGGCAAAATAACTTAAAAATGGCAAAGACCATTTTTCCAAAGAATTTGCCATTCACAGATTCTGGGGATTAAGGCATAGACGTGTCTTTTGGGGTTCACTCTTCATCTCACTTTACCAGGCCAGTGTTTCCCAGGTTTCTATGCTATAAAGTTACTTTTTACTTGTCTCTTTCCATACCACACCCTGGAAATAAGTCATTATGGGCAAGGAATTATGGTCCACTTTCTTCAGGGCAGAGTATCCACATAAATTATTTTGAATTCTTCTGTATGGGAGATTTATCTATCCTTTCCATTGGGTCATTTATATCACTGTGGACTCATGGATATTTATTTTATACTTTGGCCTATAATTTAATATTTCTTTATTTTGTTTGTAAAATTGTTCTGGTTTTGACCATTGGGAGTTCTTCCTGCTGTCTCCTGAGTCCCCATGTGTTTTTTTTTTTTTTTCGTTTTTTTTTAAGATTTTTTTTATTTTTAAGGAATCTCTGCACACAGTGTGGGGTTTGACCTCACAATACCAAGACCAAGAGTTGCATGCTCCACCAACTGAGCCAGGTGCCCCACCCCACCATGATTTTATTTTTTGAGCACTTATTACATTCTGGCATTACATCTATATGGAGATTTTTTTCTTTATTGAGAAATTTGGGTACATCAAATAAAACCAATTCCTGGGGGAAAAAAATAAAACCCACAATGGGGGGGGGGTGCAGGGCAGAAAGTCGGGGCCATAGCAGAACCCAGAGAATATCTTCCTTTAAGTGAAAATTTCTAGGTACTTCATAATTGACCTTTTGATATAAAATGACCTATTGAATTTCCAATTTTCTGTTTTTACTGTTGAGGTCCGTAGAACAAACTAGGAAATCTTCAAACCTTGAGCCTTCAAACCTTTCATGAAGGATTATTTGGCTTTTGAATCAGTTTTTCCTTGTCTAAGAGGTAGAACCAGCAACAGCACCCACCTTCTGGGCAGCTTGTTTCTTGGCATGATAAGGTTGTAGAACCACCACGGCTTCATCCACCTTGAAGCAGAGAGACTTGGGGGACTCCCGCTTGTGCAGCAGCTCAAAGCTGTCAACCTTCAGCAGCATTCCTACAATCTTTCCAGCCAAGTTTGAATGCACTGTTTGGATGAGTGGGAACAAACATTATCTCAGCATGTGCTTCTGTTCCCGGGGAGCAGGGAGGAGGGGGAGTGTGCAGTCAGCATGGAAGCAGTCAGGGGTTCCTACTCCTGCACATGGGCCATAGGCTGGGGTCCCTGCAGAGGCTGGATGGCAGGATTAGGGCTACAGACACTGGAGGTGTATTTGTAAGGTGCAGCAGCCCAAGGAGCAGCAGCAACAGCAGTACAAGGTGCTGAGATCTGCACAGTTACAGGAACACCTTCAGACTGGCAGCAGTCAGCCCTTACTGGGTGGCACCAGCCCCACCAAGGGGTCTGGGCACTCAGACCCCAGGGGTCACAAAAGGCCAGAGCATTACCAGTTGTAGCCAAATGGTGAAGAGCTGGACAAGGTCCAGCCTGGCAGATAGCACTTGGCATTCCTTGGAAGCCTTGAGGTCTCCCACCTTGTTGCCAGCATGAATTAAACCTCATCTGTGCTGATATGGGGTGTAGAGTACGGAGGTCTTCTCTGAGCCTGTTGGAAATGCTGGCACAAAGTAACCATGAGCTGCAGGCTGAAACTGATTTAAGATGGCATTGGCGGGAAGAGCTCTCATTCCAACCACCTGCTGCATATACAGATTGGTCAGGTGAGCCTCTTCCCTCTGACTTCCTCTGGGAAGCCACATAACAGTGGCTTGGAGCCCAGGGTGCATCCATTCATCTCATTGACTACTTTGGTTGCCTCTTTAGGAAATAAGCAAAGCCAAACCCTCCAGCATTACCTTAGCACTGGTGATTGATCCAAAAGGAGAAAACTCTTGGGGCACCTGGGCGGCTCAGTTGGTTAAGCATCTGACTCTTGACTTTGACTTAGGTCATGATGTCACGGTTGGTGAGTTCAACCCCCTCCCTTCCTCCTGTTGAGCTTTATGCTGACAGCACAAAGCCTGCTTGGGATTCTGTCTTCCTCTCTCTGCCCCTCCTCTGCTTGTTCTCTCTCTCAAAATAAATAAAAATAAACTTTTTTTTTACTATTATTATGTTTTATTATATCCTTGTCCCCAAATCCTAACAAGATAATAGCATTTTTATTCTTTTTTAAATTAATAATTAATTTTTAAATTTACATCCAAGTTAGCATATAGTGCAACAATAATTTCAGGAGTAGATTCCTTAACACCCCTTACCCATTTAGCCCGTCCCACCTCCCACAACCCTTCCAGTAATCCTCTGTTCTCCATATTTAAGAGTCTCTTATGTTTTGTCCCCCTCCCTGTTTTTATATAAGAAAAATAAACTTTAAAAAGAGGATAAAACTCTTCTTAATTTCTCGTAATCAGTGGTGTCATCCAAGTTATTAATGTAGAGATTTACCCCCTGATATCGACTAATTCTCTCATTTGAGCTTTTCAAATGTCTGTTTTAACTCAGCCTGCCATTCCACTTTCTTCTGTGCACAGCTTACAAAAATGATTTTCCCACTGATTTATTATCCATTCATTTTTTTGATAGCCTTATTGGCATCCTCGTCTTTTTTGTAACTCACAAGGCCAAACTCTTCATTTCTCACTAGGATCACTCATCATCTTGATATGTAGGATCTTACCAAACTGCCTAACTACTCTTTCAGGCTATCATTATCAACCTCTTCCCCAAAGTTTTTGATATAAACATTGGTGAATTCCTTGGCTTTGGCTCCAAGCTCGGCTTCCCGATTTTTTCACAACTTGAATCTGCCCACAAACACTTTGCTGTCATTGAAGAACATGCCGTTCATCTTCTCGATGGCCTTGTCAGCAGCCTCTTGGGTCTTGAAATGGGCAAATTCATAACCCTTAAAGCTGTTCTCCTCACACACCACCTTTCAAAACAGAATGTTTCCGAAAGCAGAAAAAGTATCATAAAATGCCTTTTTATGTATAGATTTGTCCAGGTACTTAATGAAGATGTTTCCCACCCCAGGTTTCTTCAGAGAAGAATCCCTCTGAGACCACATGATGTGAATTGGCTTTCCCTTAATCACATCAAAGTTCAGGGTGTCTGCCTTGGCATCAGCAGGCCACTGGAAGTTGACATAGGCATAACCCAGAGAGCGGCTGGTAGTCATGTATCCAAAGACCTGGATGGACAGCTCAGGCCCCGCAGGACTGAACTCTTCATAGAGCATGGCCTCAGTGATGTCCAAATGCAGGTCACCCATGGAACAGGGAGGCTGTGGGGTACCTACCTGCTAGCCTCAGTGTTCATCTCCCCCACCCCCACCACCCCAAGCCCCGTGGGGAAAACTTTGAGGGACCACACTGGACAAGGAGGGCTCTTCTCAGAGATGTGGCTACCCAGTGACAGATGGCAAAGTGAAGCTAAGAGACACTGGGTTAGGCTCAGGGAGACAGAGGACTGGAAAGAGGAGTTCAGAGATAGCTCACGGGAGAGTGACAAGCCAAGACAAAAGGCTCTCAAAAACAATATAGCCCTCTCTGGGAGTTTGTAATTTGCAGGCTGTCCTGGTCTAAAGTTCCAAATTTTAGGGGTGCCTGGGTGGCTGAGTCAGTTAAGCGTGGGACTTCAGCTCAGATCATGATCCTGTGGTTAGTGAGTTTGAGCCCAGCATCAGGCTCTGTGTTGACATCTTAGAGCCTGGAGCCTACTTCCAATTCTGTTTCCCTCTCTCTCTGTCTCTACCCGGCTCACACTCTGTCTCTCTCTCAAAAATAAATAAACATTAATAATAATAAAGCTCCAATTTCAAAAACAGAAAAAATAACGTATTAAAACAGAGACTCTTCTCCAAATTATAAAAATTCTTAAAGAGGCCACCAAATGGTTCTCACGGTGGCCTGGGCGGGGGCTGGGGGAGGGCATGCGTTTCTCTAAGCTTTGGCAGTTTAAGATTACAGCAGCCAGGGGAAGAGGGGGAAACCAAATATTGGTTGGAGCTAACTGGAGAGCACGCAGCCGCCTCCCACTGGGGGCCCAGCAGAAAAACGCAGGGCAGACATTTGGAGCGCCAGAGGGGCGGCCACGAGGCGTGACCGGACTGCCAGAGCAGAGGCGCGTGGGCCTGGGTAGGCTGGCTGCTCACCACTCTGACCCACCGACCGGGACCGACAGACGCCAAGGTGTGGCTGCAGCGGCTGGGACAGGCGGGAAGAGGCAAAATGACTTCCCGCGGGTTTTCGGAGGAGATTGACTTTTCCCTCTCTCTCCTTTTCTAAGATTTTAAAGCGTTTTCTTTTTCTGTTTTTATTTCAGGTTGCTGGGCCCGAAAGCCGCGGGTGCCGCTGGGATGGAGAGAGGCAGCCATTTGAGCCACCGCTCCCCTTACACCCTCCCGCCTAAGGCGCGGCTGATGTCAAAGGGCGCCATGAAACCTGGGCGCAGTCTTGCCTGCCCACTCGGCCTATACATACATGTTTCTATCCGTATAGCCTCACCCTTTGTTTATCTGTATCCTTCCATAACAAGAAACTTGGCTCGCACAGTCCACCAATTCTTTTAGTGTCAATCCCAGCATACGTTTACAATCATTTCAGAATTGTTAACCTGTGCTTATTTATGTACAGTTCCTTTCGTCTTCAGTCATACAGTTTCATGTAATATATATATGTCCATGTAATATATATACACACATGCACATATATATATATTAGAGAGAGAGAGAATAAGGAGAGGGGCAGAGAAAGGGGAGACAGAGAATCCTAAGCAGCCTCTGTGCTGACAGCAGTGAGCCTGATGAAGGGCTTGAACTCAGACCCTGAGATCATGACCTGAGCTAAAGTCAGAAGTCAATAAACCATCCAGGTGCCCCTGTTTTATGGTTTTGATACATGAATAGGTTTGTGTATCCATCCCTACAGAACCATACTGGATAGCTTCATGGTCCTAAAATCTCTGTGCTCCAACTAGTCAACCCTACCCTTTGCAAACCCTAGGTAGTCACTGATCTTCCCTGCCCCCCCCCCAAGTTTTGCTTTATCTAGAATATCACATAAATGGAATCCTACAACATATAACCTTCTCATACTACTTTCACTTAGCAAAATGCACTTAAGATTCATCCATGTTGTGACATGGATTGATAGCTTATCCCTTTTGATCACTTAATAGTTTTTCATGGTACAGATATATACCACAGTTTGTTTTGTCCATTCATCTACTGTTTCTAGTTTTTGGTGATCATGAATAAAGCTGCTATAAACATCCACCTGCAGATTTTTTGTAAATATAAACTTTCAGACTAGGAGTAGAATTGCTGGGTCATATGGAAAGTCTATGTTGCTTTTTTTTTTTTTAATGTTTATTTTTGAGACAGCACAAGCAGGGGAGGGGCAGAGAGAGAGGGAAAAGGAGAATTCCAGGCAGGCTCCAATACTGCCAATGCAGAGCCCGCCGTGGGGCTCAAACTCACGAACTATGAGATCATGACCTGAGCTGAAACCAAGAGTCAGATGCTCAACTGACTGAATCATCCAGGCACCCCTACATTGCTGTTTATAAACAAAACAAAGCAAAACAAAACAAAATAAAAAAACTTCCAGGGGCGCCTTGGTTACTCAGTCCATTTAGCATCTGACTCTTGATCTCAGCTCAGGTTATGATCTCACAGGTTTGTGAGTTCCAGCCCCAAATTGGGCTCTGTGCAGATATCAACGACCCTGCTTAGGATTCTGTCTCTCCTTCTCTCTGCCCCTCCCCTGCTCATGCTTGCTCTCTCTGAAAATAAATAAACTTAAAAAAAATTCCAAACTGTCTTCCAAAATGTTTGTACCATATTTTACATTACTACCAGTAATGAATGAGCATTCATGCTGCTCCACATGCTTTCCAGCAATAGGTACCACCAGTTTTTTTTGTTTTTTTTTTTTTTAGTTTTGCCATTTTAATTTTTTTAAGTTTATTCATTTTGAGAGAGAGGGCATACATGCATGCACATGCATGAATGGAGGAGGGGCAGAGAGAGAGAAAGAAAGAGAACGAGGAAGAGAATTCCAAGAAGGCTCCCCAGTGTCTGAGGTTTAACTGACTGAGCCATCCAGGTTCCCCTAGTTTTGTCACTTTAATAGGTGTGTGTGGTATCGCATTATTGTTGAACATCATTTCATGTACTTATTCACCATCTGTATACTTCTTTGCGAGGTGTCTTCAGATCTTTTGCCCATTTTTTAATTAGGTTGTTTTCTTATTGTTGAGCTTTAGGGGTTGTTTATATATTCTGGATACAAGTACTTTTTCACTTATGTGATTTGCAGATATGTTCTCCAAAGCTATGTGGCTTCAGCTCTTTTATTTGCTTAAGAATATACATTAGCACATAGATTTAGTTTTCTGGGAAGAGAAGTAAGAAATTGCTAACTGTGGTAGTTTCTGGGTAGATGACCTGGGTGGCTGGAGAATGTCATGCGATGTATGAACAGTGTGACATATGTATTTCTTACATATCTTTTGTAATTTCCTTGTGTGTGTGCAAGAATTATCTTTTCAAAAAATAAACATTAAAATCCCATGCACTTGTAAAACACTTAACAAATTATGTGTTAAAACACAGGTTCTGATTTTGTACTCTAGGACCAGTGATCTTTATCCTGAACCATCTTGCCTTTGATTTTTCATTTATGAAAAAGGTGGACTATCATATGGAAAAATTGCCCACTGAAAACAGCTAAAAATGCAATGCAAAACACAAAAACCATCTTCTTAAAATCATCACAGTACTGACAAGAAAGCAGCAAATGACCAAGCCCCCAAAAGAAGAGAAAGATGCTACTTGACCTCTATAAGGAACTGGGTCACAGGAGATGAAGGAAAAACTAAGTTCCTTTTCCTGGAACCCAGGCATGGGGGCCCAGCACTTCCAGCTCTTCATTGTCACTCCTAATGGACTCAGGTGATGAGGACCTACTGGGAATCACAGTCCTCTGATTAGTGAGCCCACTCTGTCTCCTATCGACTAGATTCTTCAATATCATTGGAAATAGGATGTACACACTTAATAAAAGATTCAAAAGCACAATGGAGAAGCCAGGGGGTATCTTGAGAGGGTTTATTGCCTCCACCACCATGATCTCTATCAGCTTTCCCCTACGCTACCCCAAATAAGCAAAACTTTCTAAGTAAATAGCACAAGCTTTCTCAGCAAATGCAACTTCAAGACAACTCTCTTAGCCACACTCTGTTCCAGCCAGATTGCTGCTCCAAAGCCCTTCTTATATAGAAATTCTAGGAACACCTACACATACACAGGAAGTTTCTTCCCTGGTTGCTGCCAGTAATATTGGCTCACGAGGGATGAGGAATGAGGGGGAAATGGATTTTGGGGTAAGACTGGTCTGAATTTGAATGTGGCCTTTAATACTTCTGTAAGATTTAGGCAAATCACTTATCATTACTAAGCTTACTTGATCTATAAACTGAGAGTAATAATCCCCCAATTTATAAGGTTGTTGGGATGTGGAAGGTTGGAATTCCTTGCCCTTTTCACCCCTTATACACCTCCCCTCACTCACTGGGGGTGAGGCTTTCTCTGCAATCAGTGCTGTGTTGTGAGTGACAATCCACACCAGCTTGAAAGAGGATAATTTTTCTTGAAGGTGTCTACTGTGAGGAACATGGAGACCTAGGAAAATGGAAATTGCTGCTTGTGAGCAAGCATTAAATGAAGCAGCAGAATAAAGCTGGAAAGTTGAAGATGTGAGTAAACAAGGAACGAAGGGTGGAGAGTCAGGGAGAGGGGACACCTGGGTGCCCATTTGAGATGTATCCAGTGCTCTCTGATAGTTAATGGGAGAGAAGAGTACAGAGATATATAGTCTGTCATCTGCACTGTTTTCCTGATAAGCCAAATGCCCCTAACTCTGAATGGGGACTCTAGTTGGAAACACACATATTATACAACCCCCCCAACACACACACACACGTACACATACACATACACATACACATACACATACACACACTCTCTCTCTAGATACAGATTAATGAAGAAAATGCTCTCGTGGGGATTCTCAATGGAATTCATATCACTTGTGTGATCTAAAATGGGAATGCACTGAGAGAGATGCACCCAGATGGTGGAGCAGCATGGAAGTTTTCTACTTCTCTCATCCCTGAAATGCAGCCAAATCAATACCAAACCATCTTGCACACCTAGAAAATTGATCTGAGGATTAACACAACAATCTGCATAACTTGAGCCACAGAACTCAGTAGATACACAGCACAAAAGGTAAACTAGGGGAGAGAGAAGCTGGGAAGGGTAGGGAGCTGCTTTTTCTTGCAGAGAGAGGACAGAGACGGGGGCAGAGTACAGGAAAAGCACTCCCCCTGAAAGCAGCTGAAGAGAAAGAGAAAGAGTGGAAACACCCATAAGGGACTGACCAAGAAATGGAGAAAGGAGAAAGGAGAAAGGAAATGGTTTAAATAGCACTAGGACTCTATAAACAGGGGAGTGCAGAGTCTGAAACTCCATAGCTTGATTCCTGGTGGAGCTCTGGTGGGAAAGACAAACCCCCAGGAGCAGATAGCAAGGTCTGAGGGGTCCTCAGGCCACACTGGGAGAGACAGTTCCCCTGCTGAGAGGACATTTGGTAGAGGCTATGTGGCCTCCCTATAGGCAAAGGCCCCAGTGGACCCCAGAGAACAGTCACATTTGCTGGTGTTGGAACAAGGACATTAGAGGGTGGCGAAGCCTCATGCCAGATGTGTGTTGTGATTTACCATAATCCCTGAAATGCTGCTGCTACTTAATCATGGGAACATTCCTCGGGGGTGGGCTGGCACCCAGCCATTGCTTGCTGAGACCCTCCTCCAGAGGGTTGGAGCAGGTCAAAGCTGCAGGGCCATCAGAAGTGAGGGGTTTGGAGACACAGCCCCATCTGAGATAAAATTCAGGAGGGAGGTGCCACCTGGCGGGCTGATGGCTTGGTTGTGGACAGTGTAAAAGTGGGGAGTGGATGGAAGCCAGAGACAAAGGAGGGATGCTTGACTGCCAGTCAATGAGAGGACAGAGTTCTGATGCTAAAGACTGGGTAGCTGGGAAACACCATTTTCAGCTTTTCTGGGCAGGCACATACACATGTACAGATGCCACAACAATCCACCCCACTAAGCTAAGAAGCTCCATCTAGTGGAGTATAGAGCCATTACACCAAGCCCCATCCAACTGCACCACCCATGCTCTAAAGGAACACAAGTCTCTCTGCCTGCTTAGTTTACAGACTATAAAGTGCTTCATAGTTTGACTTCTGGGGGAAACTGGATGTAATTTCAATCTTATTAATTCTGTTCACTGGTATTTTTTTCCTTTTCTTATTCTTAAATACAGAAAGAGAAAAAAATATTTTTATTTTCTGCTTTTATAAAAAATATTTCTCTTTAAT